AGATAATACATGCACCAACTCAGTGGTGGGACACCTTCAGGAGTGATCACCAAGGGACAATAGATCTGCTCTATGTTATGATCCTTTGGTGATATCAGAGTAATGATAGTGCAGTTGCAGGCAAAGAAAAATGTTGAACAGATAGCCGCAGTGGACCTATCGGAATGATTCAGCTCGGTCAATGAAGAGCATGTTTCAAACAAGAATGAGGCCTCGTCGTTGGATGAAGTTGCGAGGATCTTCGCTGATCAATCAACCACTTGCAAGTCTTCAACACATACGGAGGCTTGGCAGCGTGGCAACCCTACCTCTTACTATTTCTAAGACCGCTTCATGTAAAAGCCGGTTTCGTCAGGTCAAGACGTTGAGTAGCAATGCCCATGTTGACTCAACTCGATAGCACCCGCATGCTAAGACCAGGGTAGAAGCTACCAAACAGGGCTACCTAGGATAGCTTGCAAGAATCTAAGCCTCCACTGCTTCTGCACGTCCCCTGCATTAAATCAACAGCTGGGATCCCCCACCCGTCAACTCGCACCGTTACCACCGCAGACCCGGCCCAGGCTCGCTTGCGGTTTGGTGGTTTCGTGGGGTGATATTTGCTCCCTCACCATGACGCCTCCTGCAGCAGCGTCAAGTAGTTTGACCGGGAGGATCAACTCCAAAGACTTCTTCAGTGCCGTCATGACGTCCTATACGGAGTGTCCCCAGCACAGCATTGACCTAGAAAGGATTCCGCTATCGCGAGGTGGCAATTTTGATCAAGTGAGCGAAGGCCTTGTTTGTGACAAAGGTTGCAGCCTGCTTGTCTCTCTAGAGACAGAGACTTCCAAAGTATTGTATGGTGAGGGCCTCAGTACCCTTAATGATCCCTTGTCCAAAGTTGGCCAAGGATCATGAAGGGTCCTCAATTTTGCTCCTACTGAAATACCGGTACATCGGAGAACCTGTCATGGCTCGGAGATGACAATATCTGCCCAAATATTACCCACGATATCGTGTCAATTTGACCGTTAGGACAGAAATATTCTCGAAAACCTAGCTCCCATCAACGGCTGGTCTAGCCCGATTAGACCCTAAAGTCGAATTCGTTTTCCAGCTCAGGGGATTCGAATTGAAAAACCATATTAGCTCCCACTCAAGCAAAACACTACTCTTAGCCTTGCCGTCACAGCAGTTGCTCGTTTTATGTATCTATTCTCTAAAACGCTATGTATTTCAGAATAAGGGCGTATAATGATGAGAGCTTCGGACCTATCGTATTCTACACAAGCTTTGGCTGGTGCCCTATCTGCTTTAAGATATAATTAGAACGGATATCAGAGTTTCTCTCTTCCGGACGTTTTCTCTCGCCTCTGACTTCCATGATAGCCCTGTTCAGGTGTGCCAAGCCTGTTACCGAGCCTAAGCCTCCCAATCCCATGGCCCGTAACTGGGGATAAACAGACTGGCTGGCTATACTCCGTAGTTGGTTATAGATATCTGTCGGCATCTTGGGCCACGAATAATAGCACATGATAATGGTAGGAATGCCTTTGTGAAGATAGCCAGGTTTTTCCAATTACAATGAGTATCCGGACTGAATAGTCAGTCGTGAGAGGCATTTCTGGCAGGAAAATCGTGACTTCTACTACAGATCCGGCCTGACATTCCGTGCTATGGGGAATTGGATGTCATGCCAATTCCCGAAGGAGGCCATTTTCGATCATCGATTGCATTACCATAGGTCTGTTGCACGTGACTAGACCTGAAGAACAGTCACACACAGGCATGGCATCACTTGACTCGAAACTGCTCGATCAATTTGTTCCAATTTGGTGTCGTTAACGGACCTAAGGCAGTTCACATACAAAAGTCCCTCTGAGAGAATGCCACTATTTTCATGTTTGATACGCCTTTTGGAAGGTGGTCTACTGCGCGGGCCATCTCACGTGATGTTCTAGAAGAGGAATCTGAATGGAAACGCCTTGTTGTCATACCTCACTGTGCCCACTGGAATAAAGCTGTGTCATTGGCGATTCGACAGACCCTCATGTCGTGGTTCTCGTCACTCAAGAAACCTGCCATTCTGCGAACTTGTCAAGTCAAAACCACCCACAATCGCAATCTAAAACGAACATTCGCAACAGTCAATATGGCGGCCAATCGTGATCCCAGCACCCTCTCCAACTATAGCGCATGGCGAACTCGCCATACGACTGCTAGCTTCAAGATCGACTTTGAGGAAAAGGCGCTCAAGGGCTCGGTTATTCTTCAGCTTGAGTCACAGACCGAGAAAGAGAGTAACGAGATCATTCTTGACTCTCGATATGTGGATATCTCTACCATCCGTATCAATTCAACAGAGTCCAAGTGGGAACTGAAAGAGTATAATGCACCCCTCGGCGCCCCTCTTCATATCCATGTGCCAGGCGGAGTTGCAAAGGGTGAACTGATTGATCTCGCCATTGACCTCAAGACGACGAGCAAATGCACTGCTCTGCAGTGGCTTACTCCTGCCCAGACCTCGAACAAGAAGCATCCGTATATGTTCTCCCAATGCCAGGCTATCAATGCCCGCTCTATTTTCCCGTGTCAAGACACTCCTGATGTGAAATCCACTTTCACTTTCAAGCTCACTTCTTCCCTACCAGTTGTTGCGAGTGGTGTTCCTGTGGGAGACCATAGTGCCACGCCTGGTGAAGAGAAACTCTATGAGTTTGAGCAAAAGGTCCCTATCCCCTCTTATCTCTTCGCCGTAGCTTCCGGCGATATTGCAACTGCGCCTATTGGCCCTCGAAGTATTGTCGCCACAGGTCCCAATGAGCTGGAAGAATGCAAATGGGAGCTGGAGCGTGATATGGAGAAGTTCATGGAAGTGGCAGAGAAGCTCGTTTTCCCCTACAAGTGGGGAGCTTACAACGTACTGGTCTTACCCCCAAGCTTCCCTTATGGAGGTAGGTTTTGCTATGAGTCAAAAGGCAAGAAAATAAATTGACCTATATGACTCTAGGTATGGAGAATCCCATCTATACGTTTGCTACACCTACTATCATCAGTGGTGATCGTCAAAATGTGGACGTCATTGCCCACGAATTGAGCCACAGCTGGAGTGGCAACCTGGTTTCCAATGCCAGTTGGGAACATTTGTAAGTTCAAAATGACCAATCGCCTAAAGTGATGATGCTAATGAGGCTCAGCTGGCTAAATGAGGGTTGGACGATGTACCTTGAGCGTCGTATCCAAGCAGCCATCCACGGTGATGCCGAGTTTGATTTCTCCTCCATCATCGGATGGAAAGCTCTTGGTGCGTAACGCCATATTGCTATTGAGATTTCGGCTGACAATATCACAGAGGATGCTGTGGAGCTCTTCGGTGAGGACCATGAATACACTAAACTTATCATAAAGCACGAGGGGGTCGACCCTGAGGATGTCTATAGTACCGTTGCGTACGAAAAGGGCTTCCACTTCCTCTACTACCTAGAGGGCGTTGTTGGTCGAGAGAACTTTGACAAGTTCATCCCTTTCTACTTTACCAAGTGGTCTGGCAAGTCTCTCGACTCCTTCGAGTTCAAGCAAACCTTCCTTGACTTCTTTAACAACCTCGGGGATGAAAAAATCTCCAAGAATGTTGCCGAGATCAACTGGGAGGAGAAGTTCTACGCGCCCGGTCTACCCCCTAAGCCTGAGTTCGACACTACATTGGCGAACCAGTGCTACGACCTCGCAACTAAGTGGAAAGACGCTGTAAGTATCGCCGTCTATGGTGTAGCATCTCTACGCTAACGTTTTATCAGAACTTTACACCAAGCGCCAAGGATCTTGAGAACTTTACTGCCAACCAGAAACTTGTCTTCTTGGCTGAGGTGCAGCAGTCCGGTGAGCTGAGCGCAGACCGAGCGCGGCTCATGGGGAAAACCTACGATTTCTTATCGTCTAAGAATGTCGAAATTTTGTCAGCATACTATCTAATTGCTCTCAAAGCTCATGATTCTGCCATCTACCAAGACGCCGCCACTCTGCTTGGACGAGTTGGTCGAATGAAGTTTGTGCGCCCTTTGTTCCGCGCCCTCAACAAGGTGGATAGACAGCTGGCATTGCAAACATTCGAGAAGAACAAGGATTTTTACCACCCCATTTGTAAGGGTATGGTCGAGAAGGATCTCGGCCTTTAGATATGTGATTACGGAGAGGCAGTCCCTAGAAACCCACTCCTCACAAAATAAAAGAACATATTCAATTCAGCCATTCTGACTTTGCCATCACTTCACCCCATGTTTGACTCTCTTGACGAACAAATTTCACAGTCGAGTCGACATTGTCAGCCCCGAAATTACCATACAGATGAGGAAAACCGCCCTCCCATCTGATGGAATCAGCAAACTGCTTGAATTCAAGTTTGATGACCCAAAGTGAAGATGATCTAGCAAAGAACAAGCCAGCGGTTTTGGGTACCTGTAAGCTGCATTAGTAAACAATAACACGGCCTACGAAAAGCGCTCACTTGAGTGGATGTGCTCAGATGAACGAAGCCATCATTCTCATCAAGTTCTGATAATGGATGCTCCTTAGGAAAAGGGTCACCAGGCGGCGATGGGACAATTTTGTAAATAAACCTTGGAGGTGACTCAACAGACATTTTGGTAGAATCGACCAGTACGCGACTTGATGAAAAGAAGAGATGTGGTTGAACCCCCACCACAATAACCTAAACACTGGTGATATAGGGTACATGAAGATAGTGCGAATTTACACTGTATTACCCATATCCTTCGAGCAATGACGAAGGTGTAGAAAACTCGCACTGTACATATAGTTTTCCGTGTCCCATTTCACGTGAAGTCAACATCAAAGATAAACTGCATCTTCAACCTCCATTAAATCCCTTCATTACCCCGTATCTTTTATGTCACCAGTAGAGTTGATTGTGAGGGATTTCTTCTGGAGCTGCAGCATAATCACATCTTTCGGGCCTCAAAATCCCCTAGCAAGGCCCCCAGTAGCCACGCGCAACGGGCATGTCGCGGGGCCCAGTTTCTTCTCAGCTTCACTTGCTGTCGAATCTCCCTGCTGTACCTGTCGGTGACAAAGTCAGATTCCTCGGATGGTATGACCGGTGAACACTGTTCCACTCTTTGTGTGCTTACTCACAAATTCATTCACGGTGTATACTGTTGGCTAACCAAGATAGCGTCACTTCTTACTCAACCTCTTCGGCCTGTCTCTTCCTCAGTCATCTTTATCCAAGAGATAGCAATGCCACTGCTGTGGTGGATGTCAGCCTTCTTCTAGAATCCCTCACAGCTGAGCAAACACGTGTCGGCGAGTTTGTCAACGTGATAGGGTATATCACAGAGCAAAAGATGACTCGTGATAAGAAACAACCATACCAAGAGTCGAAACAGGTGTGTGTGCAAGCCATAGTCCTCTGGTCAACTGGTCCCATGGACCTTCAGAAGTACGAAAAGCTTCTCGATTCAAAATGAGTTAGCATAAGGCATGTAGCGCATGCAGCCAACAAACTGTGGGATTATCAGATCCAGCTTTCATTCATCGCTATTTACCTAAACTTGCGCACGATCACACAAGCATGGCAGCATACAACTTAAAATCCGATTGGAACACGAAGACTGCCGGGTCCCGAATATGACGACTCCACTCCTATGCTTTCGTGCAGCTCCAGACCTGCTACATGCCCAAAACAAATGAAATTTGGGCAGTATTTGCACTCATATGGTTTCTGTTGGGTTGGAATCATGCCAGATGGCACCGTGTCTGTGGACAGACATGGCAACCATCATGACACTTGCTTAATTTGACTCAATTGGGTATCTCATCCTCCACATATCTATATTGGGCACCGGACAGCTTCTGCTTCATGGCTATTTGCAGCCTGCAACCCTTCGCTTCACCGCACTCTAGCATTCCAACACAAGTTGCTTCACGGGCCTCAAATTCGGGGGGAGGGGGGATGATGGCTGCAGCTGCCAGCCCTCGATGTGCAGAAAACTCCCCCACAGATATCTGTCAGGCTTCCCTCGGAGCACTGGAGAGGTGGAGAGGTAACACGGTCTTAACTGCTGAGTCATGCTGGGACTCAATCTTCATCCTGCCGGCGTCGGTCGTGGTAACGTCGATGAGAGTCTCTGGACGACCCTCTCGAAACAATGACAGGCTGATGTAACGGTCGTTTCAGCAACTTCTCGGGATTCTGTTGGACCTTGGCTGCGGCCTGTCGATCCCACAGATCTTTCGACTTTCGACAAATATCATCGATTTGTTCCTATCAAATGTCAACCAACCGAGGGCGTTTACAAACCAGCAGCGACCAACATCTGTCAGGCAGGATCCGGGAGTGGTGATGAGGAATCCATCCTCTCCCTACGTTCGAATTCATGAGCAAAGGATAGCCGTTGGGCTAGCTTGACAAAGAGATACCTCCAACGTGTATGGGCGAACTGTAGCCTGGGGTCCTAGATAATACTGGAGTTCTTGAGTGATGACTTTTCTGTGAATGTCTTGATGCGGGATCCAGTATTTGTTCATTGAAGAGGACATGGTCGCACAATCGATTCTACTGAGGAATCTACGAATATCGAGACAGGCTGGGAAGGATAAAGCAGTATGAACTGGGCCAAGGGAGGGTATTTATCCAAATCTGGCACAGCCTGCTAAGTTACAAGATATGGTTACGATGTGCCTGACGGTTAGAGGGTACCTTTCATGCTAATGTATGCGAACCCAAGGTATGTTAATCTGATGCGTGTGACTATGCTCACCGCTCCACAGCATGATATCCCAACACGAATTTGAAGGTCTTCAAGGGGTACCCAGATTTGATTTGCTGCATGTGTTTTTTGTCGCTCCTTGTAACCAGAACAGATACGGCAGGAAACCCCTGCCATACGCCGTGAGCCTTTGAAAGTGAGGCGAATCAGGTGTGGTTGGTCATTGGTGAGCGGTGTCCAGCGTCCGCCCTGCCAGCGTGGCAAATATCAAACGGGTGCATCTGGTGCCAATAACGCCGCGCGGAGGGAGTTCAAAGGACCCTTGTTGAACCCAGACTTTACTACTCCTCGAATACGTGCGTGAATAAGTTAATATGGGGGCTGTGGTGGATGTCCGTAAGGCTGATCACGTCGATGACAGTCATGCTCTATTCAGACGAACCCAGATCTGCGCTTACCACAGCTCAAGCTTTAGACGATCGTGGGACTCATTGGGTGAAGTAAGCGCCATGTGCATCTCTTGATCTAGGGGCAACGGGCACGCAAAGCCACTTGACCAATAAGTCTGCAGGTTGCCGATCCTGTAAGCGACACAGAACCCCGTTCTCTTTCTCGAAACTGTCAAAAACCAAGTAATTTTGATCTTTTTTTCAAAACTTGCTAGCACGACCATGCCGTTGAATTCAGACGATCTCCTGCAAGGCGAACTGCTCTGCTGCAAATGCCAATTGGAGATCTCAAAACCCTTGTCCTAGTCGCAGCGTTGTGATTTGCACTCGAAAACTGGATCTACTACTAACGCCAGAGCCTCTCGAAGCTTCAGTTCATCATTCCTGAATGATGTTGCAGGCGACCGAGCATCAGACACCAATTGCTATCCCCAGTCCCTTAGCCTTGATTTGAAAAGAAGTATCATGAGAAACAGGATGGCTGATCCTGGATTCTGTGAAGCGCCGCGGCGCCTGAAGGATTACGTTACGGCATCCTGGATATGTCTCGAGTTTCTCATTCATTCTGTGGTGACAAGCCGCTTGAGGGATTCTTAGCCAGGCAGACGCATATATGAGTTCGACTGTTCGAAGGCATTTCAAGGATTGCGTTTGCAAACGAGATGTCTCTGAGTAATTTTCATTTCGGTTCATATGCCCCAACTTCCGGAGTAGCGAGGCGAAGAGGTCTTAGTTGCTGGCAATTATCAGGGGAGTATTTGCCAATCAAGACACTTATTAATCTCACGATGAAGAACGCGTTAATCGGCTTTGGCATTATTGACAAAGGGCGCCACAGGGTTCTCAAGTGTTCCATGTTTCTCTCAGAGGCACGCAAGTCCGTTTTCGCCTATATCACTGAATTAAACAGCTAGAGAACCACAACTAACGTTGAAGTTGAACAAGATTCAATGAATGCCATGGCTGGTGCACGGAGGTGATCCACAAATGAAGCGCGGGGAACGGGAGCAGAAGCGAAAGTAAAGGCGGAGGTCAACATTAGGAGCGTGAACTCAAAAGCGAAACGAATCGGGGAGAACATGAAGTCCACGGGTTTCATGAAATTAACACCATCAGACCCATTGGCATTTGAACAGACGCAGCTGTTTCAATGCTGACGAAGACCGGATGATGGCTGGCTTGCGGTTAATGCTCGGCAGTCAGCGTACCCTCCAACAAGATTGGAGCTATCTGTACTTCCACGTGAATCCCACTCCCAGCTTCTTACTAACAACCCCAGATCCCCTGCTCATGCATCAGCTGCCAATCAAAGCACGGGACTCGGACCAAGCAGCTTGCTGCGCGACCTCCGACCGCGCCCACCAAATTTGTTGACAAGCAACCATCGCAAGGTATTCTATTCACTTGTGCTCGACAACGAACAGGCGAGCATTCTTGCAGCTCAGCTCCCAAGAAGGTAGCCCCAGCGAAACGAGCTTTACCCCCCAGCAAGCCCCTGTCGAAACCCTGAATAGCGATACCAAATCCGACACTGTCGTCATTTCTGGATACGTACCTCTTAGCCCGTGCCTCAACGGACGGTGAACCCCCTTACGTAGCGATACCTACCGACGAGACAATGCGCTGAAGTTTCGGACGGCGACTACACCGTGGAGACACATGCTGTTGCAATAAAGTATAAGCTGCCGGTATATATATCGTGTTGGGGACAGTCTTGATCCCTTCCAAATCCCGCGCATTCTCAACAACCAAGCTTTTGTCCAGAGGGGACCGACTTGGGTCCCCTAGACAAATCGCCAGCCATGCCGCCAGCGGGCGGAGGAAATATTAAGGTGGTGGTGAGATGTCGACCTTTCAATAGTAGAGGTAAGTAGCGGGTTTCTTACATAAGAAAAGAGCGGTGCTGAATGGGATGCAGAAATCGAAAGAGGTGCAAAATGTATCGTGGAGATGAAAGGGAACCAGACGGTGGTCACCGCACCTGAAGGGAAAGGCGTGAAAGATGGAGGACCAAAAGCCTTTGCATTCGATCGTTCGTACTGGTCATTCAACAAAGACGACCCCAACTACGCCGGCCAATCGAACCTTTTCGACGACCTGGGACAGCCCCTTCTCGACAATGCATTCCAAGGCTACAACAACTGTATCTTCGCCTATGGCCAAACCGGTTCAGGAAAATCATATTCTATGATGGGCTATGGGAAGGAAATAGGGATCGTTCCCTTGATTTGCCAGGATATGTTCAAAAGGATCGATGAGCTAAAGAAGGATAAAACAACGAAATGCACAGTCGAAGTCTCTTATCTCGAGATCTACAACGAACGTGTCCGAGATCTACTCAACCCATCGACCAAAGGCAACCTCAAAGTCCGAGAACATCCCTCCACAGGTCCCTATGTGGAGGATCTTGCTAAGCTTGCAGTCAACGAATTTCAGGAAATTGAACATCTCATGGATGAAGGAAACAAGGCCCGAACGGTCGCCGCAACCAATATGAACCAAACATCAAGTCGAAGTCACGCCGTTTTCACCCTGATGTTGACACAGAAGAAATACGATGCTGACACAAAGATGGAGATGGAAAAGGTCGCTAAGATCAGTCTGGTGGATTTGGCAGGTTCTGAACGAGCCACATCAACGGGAGCCACTGGCGCGAGGCTGAAAGAGGGCGCTGAGATCAACCGATCCTTGTCGACATTGGGTCGTGTCATTGCTGCTTTGGCTGACCTGTCAACCGGTGGCAAGAAGAAAAAAGGCACTGGTCAAGTACCTTATCGAGACAGTGTCCTGACGTGGTTGTTGAAAGATTCACTAGGTGGTAACAGTATGACAGCAATGATTGCCGCCGTCAGTCCGGCTGATATCAATTTTGATGAAACGCTCAGTACTCTCCGATATGCCGACTCCGCTAAGCGAATCAAGAACCACGCTGTTGTCAACGAGGATGCTAATGCCCGTATGATCAGAGAATTGAAGGAGGAGTTATCGCTATTAAGAAGCAAACTTGGGAATGGTCCTGTTCCTGGTGGAGCTGCTGGGGGTGGACTTGTCACCGGAGAGACTTATCCTGAAGGCACACCCCTAGATCAGCAGATGGTCAGCATCACTGGCTCGGACGGTGTTCTGAAGAAGGTCTCAAAGGCAGAGATCGCGGAACAGCTGAGCCAGAGTGAGAAGCTGCTTACGGATCTAAATCAGACATGGGAGGAGAAACTGTTGAAAACTGAGGAAATTCACAAAGAACGTGAAGCGGCCCTCGAAGAACTTGGTGTCAGTATTGAGAAAGGTTTCGTTGGCCTGCATACGCCG